GGGCTTTGGGAGGGCAGGGCAGTCTAACAGGAGACTGAACCAGGACTCCTGCCCCCGGTTCCAGCTCTGAGTGGAGCATGGGGGATCCTTGCAGTATAGTGCTACCTGGGCCTGTACTGCTCTTGGGGGCTTACTGGGGAGTGGATAAAAGTTCATGAAGTGTCACAACCACCTATAACAGCAAAGGCTGATGGGAAAAGATGCAAAAGGGAGACAGAGAGACCCAATTAGTCCAAACAAAAAAGCCCTCCTGATACCGCTCAAGGACTGTTACAATCATGCCCAGCAAACAGCGAGAGTGTGGGGCCAGAAAGCCAGGAATTAAAGTGGGTGAGCCAGGCGGATGGGCTAGACTGTCTCTCCTCTGGGGTCCTTAAACAGATTGTTTTTGGAGGGGGGAGAATAGGGTTGTGGAGGAGGGAGCCAGAGCTATGGGGAAGGACTGAGTGTCATGGCTGCCGCACCTGCCCAAGATGTGCCATGACACAATCAGGCCTTCATTTTCCTGAGCAGGCCAGGCCAGCCATGAGAGGGCAACTGAGCCAGGACTGCTATGGCTGGCTGTGCGACCTCTGCCAGGGCCTTTGAACCCTGGGCCTCATTTTCCTCTCCCGAAGGAACCCCGTCCCTGCCTGGGGGGTTGGTGTCTGTGACAGGCACTGGGAAACGCCCTGGGCAGGTGAAAGGGACATGCTGCTGGGAAAGGGTGTGAGCATCACCCCCCATCCCTACGTCACTTCATGGTCCGAGCCAGCAACTCAGGAAAGCTGCTGCCAATTGCCTGGGTTCCACCTTGACAGCCCTTCCCTTCACCCCCTGCCATGTAGGTGGTAGTGGGTCGCGGTGACCCAGGGTTTGGCTGCGTGGGGGTTAGGGCATGGCTCAGAACCCAGAGCCTTGCCCGTCCTGCCTGCATTAATCATAAAGCCTCCCATCCCGAGAGTGACTACCCGTGTGGGCAGCTGGTTTTCCTTTTCCTCCTGGCTCCCATCTGGGGCAGGGACCATGGTGGGGATCGGAGCCTCCTACCTCAACAGGTAGGGCCACACGAGTGCCATGGGGCTCAGCCCTGCCGGATGTTCGGCCCTTGCTCCCCTGGTTACAGACGGGCAGGCAAACGGAGCGAAGCTGGGAGACCGAACGTGGGAGGTTGCGTCCAGCTCTGGGGGAAGGCACATCAACAGGAGAGTGGACGGGGCAGAGGGGCGGGAGTTCACTGTGCTGATAAAGAGCCTCTTTCGGTGCCCTAGGAGGGGCTGCCATCTTTTCTAGCGGCTTGGAGCTGGGAGTGGGGGGCTGGATTCTCTTCTTATTTCTGGGAGGAGAGGGTTGGAATCCAGGACTCTTGGGTTCTATTCCCTTAAAAACAATCTCTGGCAGCTTAATCCGTCCCCTGCTCTCTGGTAACCTGACCCTGGGGAGTTGTTATTTTTAAACCTCCCATTGACCCAGATCACTTGTATTCTTCCAATTATTTTTAACCTCCCTTCAGGGAGCAATGAATCCAGACGGAGCAAAGGGACCCGATGGCCATGGGGAGCCACCGCTTCCTGGGCTGGCATAAAAGAGCCAAGCTCTCTGCATCCTGCCCCCACGACAGCCTGGAACCCAGGAGTTCTGGCCCCCAGAGGTGCCCCTCTCCCAAGCCTCTTCGCTGCTCTGCGATCAGCCTCATCTGCGAGGTAAAGGTGCCCCCGGCAGCCTGCCGGCGTGTGGGGTGGGGTGTGCGATGACCCTGTTCCAAGGGGACGTGGACTGTGCTGGATGAATGTGAGCGGGGGGTTGGATGGGGAGGCACATCCCACACCCCACCCTGGTTGCGGGTCTGGCCCCCTCCCAGTCGCATCCCTCTTTGTGTCTGTCTGAATCCAGCTGGCACGAGGTACCCGAGGGCAGGGCAAGCCAGCGCCTTGGTGGGTGGGTACAGCTGTGTCGACCGCATGTCAGGGCAGGGTGAGGGCAGCTGGAATATGGGAGGGATGGAGAAGTGTTTCTGCCTGAAGATGGACTGGGAGTCAGGACTGATTTCTGTGTCTGGCTCTAGGAGGGGAGTGAGGTCTAGTGGTTAGTGTGTGTGTGGGGGTGGGGGGGGGGGGGGGACTGGGAATCAGGATCAGAAAATCCCGACTACCCGAGGAGACACTCATTTCACCCAACTTCAGTCCCTGACAAACCCTTTTCTTTCCACAGGATCCCTGAAGGTGCATCTATTTAGCAATCAATGTCCTCTTATATTTATTACCATCCAACACAGAGAGGCATTAACTGAACTGGGGGAAGGGGGTCAGGGAAGAGGTAAAGCAACTTATACAGTCAATAAAACAAGCCCTCCAACCTGTGCAAAATGGACCTCAAGAAAAAGGAAAATTAAAACCATGTCTTACCTGGCAGTAGCAATCCCAAAGGATAGTATTTACCAATTTACAGTAGGTGCATTCGCACGCACAGACAGACACAGACACAGACAGACACACACACACAGCTGGAAAGTGGTAAAAGTTTTGAGGGGAAAAACTCTGGGGGGGGGAGTGGGGGTTGGGGGGGTGGGTGGGGGGGGGGGGGGGGGGGGGGAGGAGACTGGGAATCAGGATTCCTGGGTTCTTTGCCCTGCTATGGAAAGGAAGGTGGAAAGTAATGGGGGCTGGAAATTAGTGGGACCTTAGGACCATCTCTTAGCCTTTCCCTGCCTCAGTTTCCCTATCTATGAAATAGTAATAGAGGCAAGAGGCTCCTAGCCAGGGGAAGGTGGCAGGCAGTAATCTCTGTAAAATGCTCTGAGATGTGCCAGTCTTGTAGGCAAAACTCCCCTACCCCTTCCCAAATTTGGGCATTTGGGAGCAGGGGGGCTGCAGGGGAGGGAGGGGAAGAGATAAAGGAGGTCACTCTGGAACATGCCACGGGAGGGCAGCACTCCTGGGGAGGGAGGGTGTCCTTGTGTCACATGCTTCATTACCCTCCTCCCCACACCTCCGCTGGGGTGGGATGGGGGAGCATCCCAGGCACCCTGAGGATGAGCGGGTGGCAGGACCCGCCCTTGCTCTGATGCTCCTGGTCCCCTCTCCCACACAGCCGCTTTTCCATGGCTCCCAGACCCCCCAACCCTCCCCACCTGAGGGGTCCCCGGGACTCACAACGATTTTCTCTTTCTCCCTGCCCGGGACCAGCTGCCTCCCTGGGACCGGGGAGCTCTGCCCGCAGGGGCCACGAGGGATGGCAGCAGCTTGGAGCTTGGTCCTGCTGCTGCTGCTGTGGGGCCAGTCGGCAGGTGGGTGCCAGGGCACGGGGGGCAGAGAGTGTGTCCCTGCTGCCCCTCTGACCCCTAGACAGTCGGTATTGGGGACCCCGC